GCCTAGAGAGTTAGGATTCCAAATTCTAATGAATAAGCTATAATTTTAGGCTAAAAAAAGAAAAATTTATGAGGGTAATTAGAAAGTCCAGCATATATATTAAAATATATAAGTATAGAAAGGGAAAAATTTGGTTTGGTAGCAGTTCATGAGAAAAAGGCTCTGTAAAATATAGGAGCCTATAAGTAATGCAAAGACACTTAAAAAGATGTTTTTATAGTCTTTGGATGCAAGAAGATGGTGGAAGCAAGCTGGGTTGAGAATATAGATATAGGTGCAATTTGAAGAAAGGCATGAGACTAAATTTTAAACTGTGGAATTGAAATATTTTCCTAGGTATCAAGAGAAGCTAGAGCACAGCTTGTGGGTATTCCTCTTGCTTATTTCCTGTTATTCCACCTTCTCATCATATACTTGTACCACTCTGCTCTCATGTGTATAAAGTGTCTGTACACCACCTTTCCTCTCTGCTCACCATAATTCTGTCTTCCATTGAAACCTACCTCTAGTCCCACCCATTTCTCAACAAAGTTCCCTTGTGAACTTCTTTAGCATTTATTTAGCTTGACTCCTATATTATCTTTTAGTTTGGTACTTTAATATAATGTTATTGAGTTGGTGATACTGGTGGCAATGGTGACAAAGACATTGGCAATATGTAAAGATTTATTGAGAATAACAAACTTTGAGCAGATGTGGCTCATTTCTAAGAACATATAAAGAATGAAGACATTTGGAAAAAACACTATTCTGTTCTTGGAGATTTAGCTTTTAAAAAAACTAAAATTATCTTAGAGCAAAAGGGGCAACACATAAAGAATCTGAGTCTCAAGGTATTAAGTGACTTTGCCCAAGGTCACTAAATTAGTGTACTGGATCTTACACTATGTCTATCAGATAAAGTTCTTAGGAGTTTAAGTTGTAAGAAACTGAAACCAAATTTGGCTGATTTAAACAGAAATGGAATTTTATTTGGTCAACATGTACTGAATGTATGTTTACTGAGTACTCATTATGAGCTAGGCACCCCCTAAGTCCTGGGAATATCACAGAAAACAAAGTCCATACTCTAAAGAAGGACTTTGTAGAAGGGGAGACAGACAATAAACAAATACATGAATATATTATGTTTTAGGTACCAAAGAAGAAAAATAAAGAGGAATAATTCAATCCACTGAGCCACAGCAGCCAGGGAAGGAATAATTCAATGATAGAGAAGAAAAATAAGGAAGGAATTTGGCAGAGGAGATGAGTGCTATTTTATTTATTAATTTTAATGTATTTTATTGACTATGCTGTTACAGTTGTCCCATTTCCCCCACTTTATTTATTCCCCTCTGCCCTGAGTACCCCCTCTCACCTGAATTCTCTCCCTTTAGTTCATGTCCATGGGTCATATATATAAGTTGTTTGGCTTCTACATTTCTTATACTATTCATAACCTCCCCCCGTCTATCTTCTACCTACCATTTATGCTACTAATTCTCTGTACCTTTTCCTCCTCTCTCCCCACTGACTCCCCTGCTGATAACCCTCCATGTGATCTCCATTTCTGTGACTCTGATCCTGTCCTAGTTGTTTGATTAGTTTGTTTTTGTTTTGTTTTGTTTTTTAGGTTCAGTTGTTGATAGTTGTGAGTTGATTGTCATTTTACTGTTCTTATTTTTGATCTTCATTTTCTTAGATAAGTCCCTATAACTTTTCTATAACAAGGGCTTGGTGATGATAAATTCCTTTAACTTGACCTTATTTGGAAAGCACTTTATCTGCCCTTCCATTCTAAGTAATAGCTTTGTGGGATAGAATCATCTTGGATGTAGGTCCTTGCACTTCAGGACTTTGAGTAATTCTTTCCAGCTTCTTCTTGCTTGCAAGGTTTCTTTTGAGAAATCAGCTGATAGTTTTATGGGAACTCCTTTGTAGGTAACTGTCTCCTTTTCTCTTGCTGCTTTTAAGATTCTCTCCTTCTTTTTAATCTTGGGTCATGTAATTATGATGTGCCTTGGTGTGTGCTTCCTTGGGTCTAACTTTTTTGGGACTCTCTGAGCTTTCTGGACTTCCCGCAAGGCTATTTCCTTTGCCAGATTGGGGAAGTTCTCTCATTATTTGTTCAAATAAGTTTTCAATTTCTTCCTCTTCCTCTTCTCCTTCTGGCACCACTATGATTTACATGTTGGAACATTTAAAGTTGTCCCAGAGGTTCCTAAGCCTCTCCTAGTTTCTTTGAATTCTAGTTTCTTCATTTTGTTCTGTTGGAATGTTTGTTTTTTTCTTCTGGTCCAAGCTGTTAATTCCCAGTTTTCTTTTCTTCACTGTTGGTTCCTTTATATTTTCCTTTATTTCACTTTTCATAGCCTTCACTTTTTTCTTTATTTTGCAACCATACTCAGCCATTTCTGTGAGCATACTGATTACCGATGTTTTGAGCTCTGCATCTAATAGGTTGGCTATCTCTTCATCACTTAGTTGTGTTTTTTTCTGGAGTTTTGATCTGTTCCTTCATTTGAGTCATATTTCTTTTGTCTCAGCACTCCTATTACATAGTAAGGGGTGTAACCCCTTACTAGGGCAGGTATTCACTATGGCAGGGCAACCCACAGTGCTGCGTTGTGGCACTGCATGTGGGGGAGGGGTCCGAGAGGGAACAATGCCCCTTGCTCAGTTCTCAGCTGGCTTTCAGTCACTTTCTCCACTACTCACAAGCAAACTGGGCCCTTCTGGTGCTGATTCCCGGGTGGGTGGGTTTATGTATGTTCTAAGACCCTGTGGGTCTCTCTAATGAACTCTCCTGTGAGGCTGAGAGTTTCTCCTGCCACCACTACCCCACAGGATTTTTCAGTCAGAGGTTTTGAGACTTTTTTTCCCACACTGGAACCCTGGGTAGCATAGTCTGTCTCACTCCCCAGGTGCTCCTCCCCATTTAGCACATGCAAATGTAGGACCACCTGGTCTGCCAGCTGCTGTTTCACCTGCCCCAGTCCTCCCCCAGCTGACTTGCCATGAGTCCTCTGAACCCTGGCTGCCCATCTTCTGCCCCTCCTACCTATCTGGATGAATGTTTCTTCTTTAACTCCTTGGTTGTCAGACTTCCATACTGTTTGATTTTCTGGCAGGTCTGGTTATTTTTTGTTTTTAAATTTGTTGACCTTCAGCCCTGGCTGGTGTTGCTCAGTGGATTGAGCACTGGACTGTGAAGCAAAGAATTGCAAAGTTTGATTCCCAGTCAGGGCACACGCCTGGGTTGCAGGCCAGGTCCCCAGTGGAGAGCATGTGAGAGGCAACCACACATTGATGTTTCTTTCCCTCTCTTCCCCTCTCTCTAAAAATAAATAAATAAAATCTTTTAAAAAATTGTTGTCCTTCTTTTGGTTGTGTAAGGAGGCAAAGCATATCTACCTACACCTCCATCTTGGCTGGAAGTCTCCAGGAGTGCTATCTTAGATAGGGTGGTCAAGAAAGCCTATCTGATAAAGGTACATTTAAGTAGAGACCTGATTGGAGTAAGGAAACAAATCACATGGGAACCTTGGAGAAGAGCATTCCAGGAAGAAGGAATGGCAATGCTAATGGTCCAGCAACAGGAGTGTGCTCCACATTGTGAAGAAGAATAATGGGGAGGCCAGTGTGGCCAGAGCAAGTGAAGAACTGACAAGAGACCAGGTTAGAAAGATAATAAGCAGGGCCAATCACAGAGATGGGAGAGGTATTTGGGATTTTATTTTGAATAAGATGAGAAACTGTTATATGGTTTTGAACAGAGGAGTGATAGGATCTTAACTTATGATTTTAGAAGATCACTGACTACTGTGTGGAGACAGGACAGCATGGGAACAAAGGTGAAACGGGGAGACCGTTAAGAAGCTATTGCCGTATCTTGTGTTGGATAATGGCTTCTGGGAACAGGACTACCAGGTCACATCCAGAATTTACTGATGGACTGGAAGTCGCATTACAAAGAAGACTCAGTGATGTAGCCAAAGTTTGGGCTTGAGCAATGAAAAGAAGCAGTTGGATAGATCTGGTCATAGGATTTCCAGGAGAATCAAGCTCTGAACACAGGCATACATAAAGGGGAGGGAGGGAGCTACAATCACTGCTAAAATCTTATCACAGAGCCAATCTGATGAAGTCTCTATTGCTGACAACACTGGACACCACATGCCACCACTGGTGCGGAAACTGGGCGTTGCTGTTGCTAGAATAAATTCTTGTTTTTCTGCTTCTTTCTCTGTGTTGATATTCCTGAGTCAAAATCCTAGGTGGACACACCCAGCTGGCTGGGGGCAGATTGCACATCTATGCCCTAGATGCCATAGGTGCTGGGGAAGCAAGCGGTCCCTTCACTTTCATACCAGGACACTGGCCCTACTTTTTACTAAAGCTCAAATGGTAAGGAATTCTTCAAATATAGGATGAGGGTTCAGATGGTGGGCAGCCACCAAAACAAGGACTGTTTACCCCATTCTGTCAGAGTAGTCACTGGAAATATGTTAGACTGCTGATGCAGGAAGCCACTGGAACTAATTTAAGCACTAGATCTTTTAAAGAAACTTTAAAAACCAATCTGAGAGAATTTCATAACTGTGAGCACTTCAAACTCTTTAACAGGAAGATCAACGGTTGCATTATCACTTGACGGCACGGCATATCAGTAACAGACTTCCTTTTGCTTTGCCCAGTTCTCTCACCACAACCCTGTGAGACTGGGGCTGTTATAGAAATGAGGCTTGCTTTCAAGGCACTACCTATGTACTATTTATCCTTCGTACTCATTGCAGCTCAGGGGAAAGTGAGGCCTAACAACGCTCTGAGGATTGCTGAGGGAACCAAATGTACTTGAAATCAAAGGACTGTACCAAAGTCAAGCATCACTGAGCAGTATTTTGATAAGTTTCAGATCCAGCCCTGGCTGAGTAGCTCACTTGATTAGAGCATCATCCCGGTATGCCACAGTTGGGGGTTCGAGCCCCAAACAGGGTTTATAAAAGAATTAACCAATGGTGCTTGCTTCAGAGGCACATGTACTAAAATTGGAATGATACAGAGAAGATTGGCATGGCCCCTGCGCAAGGAATTAACCAATGAATGCATAAATAAGTGGAACATAAATTGATGTCCCTTTCTCTTTAAAAAAATCAATTAAAAAAAAAGTTTCTGGCCTGCTGTAAGGACCTTCACAGAACCTCACAAAAGCCTCCATGGAATTGCTGAAGGCCCTGAAAAACAAAGTTCAAAAAACACTGGGTAATGCAAAGCATACCAGACTGGGAATCAAAAGACCTGACTTTTAAGTGTGACTTTGGGTTTGTTACTATGTCTCTGTAAGTGTTAATATCTATAAGTCTTCCCTTTGTCTTCTGTAAAATGGAAAGACTAGCCATCTCACATGGTTATCAGAAGGATTAAATAAGGGAATGTATATGAAACCTAGCTGAATGATAAAGTGTCCTACGAAGTTAGAATAACTTCTCACTAGCACATGGGACCAAGAATTTCAAACCCAGAGTGCTTAGATCCTACATCTGTATTGCCTGGGAAGTTGCTGCTGTCCTGGAAGATAATGGAGGCCCAGAGGCTCACTGGGCCTTGCCTCAAGCATGTTGCAACAGCTTGGATGATAAAACCAGGCTCGAAGCCTTGCTTGCCCCTTCACTTTAAACACACCATCTGAGCTCTGGCTTGCTTTCCTGCCTTGATTTGTTAGGTTGCTATGAAGTGGTCTCCAAAATTCAGATGTTAATTCATGCACCCCATTGTTGTGCAGAGGGCCTTCTAGCTCCTGCCAGGGATGGCTTGCTTATTCTCTTTGCATCTAGCTAGCCCAGGTGCTGTTTTCCATTTTCCCCTGTTTAGTGCCCGAGCCTCCTCAGAGAGTTTCCCCCACAGCCCTGAGGAAAAGCCTGGCTATGAAATTCCCACTTCCTACCAATCTTGGTCTTCATGGCAGAGGAGCCATTTCATGGATTATGATTGAGCTCCCTGGGAAGACGGCCCTCTGGGTGGTACCTTTGTTTAGGATGCATGAATTCAAAGCCCACAAGTTGCTCTGTAGGCTCTTCAAACTTCTGTGGGTTGGGTAGGGAAATTTCCCCAAACTTCCACAGTATTTTCTACCTTTGGAAGATAATCTCCCAGATCTGGCCACAACTAAAACATGAAACTGACAAGCCACTTTTGGGGCAAAGTAAGAGTGAATGGTAGGCAGGGACCTTAGACATTACCTCTTCCTTATGAGTAAAGTAGGAGAGGAGGAAAAGGAGTGTATGGGGCAGTGGATAAGGTTGTAGGATGCAAGGTCTGTATTTTGGCACTAAATTAAAATGTGGAATAAATATAAGTGTATGTGAAGTGATGTCTCATCTATAAATTGTTTGGAACCCTTGTAGTTCTGAGCATGTGAAGTAGCGAAAGGAGATAAAGGTAGTTCTTTTGATTTATTGCATTAAAAATGCATATATATACCCAAAAAACCTTGTGGAAGAGAATAGGTGACTTTCTGTTTCTAAACTTCTTGGTAATTCATGGAATCCCTTTCTCTTTGCTTATATACAGGGAGGGACTTTGCTACAGGGGGAGCCTGTGTACTGTGAATATTTTTCATTACACCGTTATTTTCCCATCTATGTAATGTGTTTATTATTGAAAAATCATGTATTGCTAGGCTCCACTATAAAGATCAGAGCCAGATCTTTCTATGGCATTAAAATTATAGATAGGTGTACTTATGAAGAACCACTCTGCAGTAACAGAAAACCAAAACCAAAACAACAGTGAAACAAGAGTAAGATGTTTTCATGAAAAATTAGTAGAATTGAGAATGAAGGCAAATTGAGAATGAAAAATTAGTAGAATTGAGAATTAAGGCAAATTTGACCAAAAAAAGTTGATAGTTTAGTGCCCAGGTGAATTGTTGAGCTAGGAAGTGTCATAAAGGAGAGGAATCACGGGGTTTATCTGAATAAAATTACTTCTTTATGCTCTCTTGCCTGTAACTTGTGGGAAGGGACTCTTGATAGGGAGAAGTCCAGAGCTTTAAGGGACCTGGCAGAGTGGGTAAAGACAGTTAATTAAACAGTTTTCTTCTGCTTTCTTTCTCATAGCAGCATTGGATTTTTAAGGTACCAGTGGGCTTGCAAGATGCTGACTTTCCGGAGGTGGTTACCGCTCCGTGCCCCTTACCTGGTTCAGGCCACTTTGAAGGTTAATTGTCACATCACCAATCTGCAGCTGAGAGCGCCCTTGCAGATCTGGGAAACAAGATACCATCAAGGCTGCTTTCTGCAGAACATTGAGCGGAGCAGTCAAGTGGGAAAGGAAGACAAGCAGAGGGGGCTACCCCATGAAGTATGCCCACCTGTGCAGCTGAGAGCTTGTGTTCCTGTACTCATTGGAGCCTTCATCTTCATATAGAGCAAGGAGCACAAAATCATGATACCAGTTACTTAAACTGCAAACCAGGCCATAGCTGAAACAGGACCTTGATTAAGCTAGATCAAGGCATTACCAAGTGGTCACCTCTAAACTTTGCTCATAGCAAGGAAACAGTCCTTGGGATCTGAGGCAGTCTGGAACTAATAGAAATTTCTTCTGGAAATTGATTTGAATACCTTTTCATTCCTGTGAACAATTTATTATATTTATGCTATGTAGTAATAAGAATAATAGAAAATCATTAACCAAAACCCAGTGATATGCACAGTATTGTGCTAGGCCTTATAGGGAATACCAGGAAAATTATGAAATTTGTACTTCTATAAATCTTTGTCTTCCAAAATGCTTTCAGATCCTAGCGAGATGTTATTATAACCTATGCTCATCCTTTCCAGGAAGCTTTTTCCCACTAACTTTACCTCATTATATTTATTCCACTACCAGTATGTATTAGTTTCTGAAGTTGCATTCATTTGTATTTGTCTCTCTATCCTTGCTATATGTCTAGGTGTGTGTACCTTTTATTAGACTGTTTCTTACAGCAGTCACCTTCATTTAACCATCTGCACTAAAAGTTCCTTGAAGACTGCAACTCTGTTTCATCCAATAGATTGAGAGCCATTATAGTTACAGAATTTTTTTAAAAAATATTCACTTAAAAATTTTATATATAATAAAATTCACTATGTATGTACAGTTCTATGCATTCTATGTGTATCTGTACAAATATAATTATGCAAAGACCACCACAATCAAGATACAAAACCATTTCAACCACCCTCCCCTGAGATTCCTTCATGCTGCTCCTTTGTATTCAATCTCCCCCAACCACCTAGCCCCTGGCAATGGATGATCTTCTGTCCCTATAATTTTGTCTTTTTCAGAGTGTTATATAAGTGGAATCATACATATGAAGCCTTTTGTGTGTGGTTTCTTTCACTTACCAAGATGCATTTGAGGTTCATCCACGTCGTTACATATTCCTTTTCATTGCTGAGTAGTGTGTTTCATTCCATGATGTACTATAGTTTATTTAGCCTTTCATCAGTTGAGGGACATTTGGGTTGTTTGCAGTTTTTTGTGATTATACCGCCATAACCATTTATGTACAAGTTTTTCTGGGAACAAAATTTTCATTTCTCTTAGATAAATATGGAGTAATGAGAATCCTGGATCACCCAGTAAATATGCTTAACTTTAAAATAAACTGTCACCCTGCCTGGTATGGATCAGTGGGTTGAGCACTGGCCTGAGAACCAAATGGTCACTGGTTCAGGTTCAATTCCTGGTCAGGGCACATGCCTGGGTTGTGGGCCAGGTCCTCAGTTGAGGGGCATGGAAGGGGTAACCAATCGACATTTCTCTCCCTCTCCTTCTGCCTCCATTGTGCTATCTCTAAAAAGTAAATGAAATCTTTTTAAAATGAGAATAGTTTTGTTAAATAAATAAATAAATAAGCAAACAAGTAAATAAATAAATAAGAGAAACTGTTTGTAAACCTAAAACTGCTAAAAAAATATATACAGACTTTGATAAGAATGGGGACAAAAAACTGTCAAACTGTTTTCTAAATATTGGCTGTTCTTCTTGCATTCCCACCAGCATCGTGTGAATTTCAGTTGCTATGTGTATTTGTTAGCACTTGGTATTGTCAAATTTTTAGTTTTAGCCATTCTAATAGATGTGTAGTAGTTTTCATTCTGGCTTTAATTTGCTTCTAATAATTAATTGTGTTGATGATCTTTTTTGTGTGTTTATTTGCCATTTGTAGATCTTCTCTGGTGAAGTATATCTTCAAATCTTTTGCCCATTTTTTTATTTTTTAAAAATATTTTTATTGATTATGGTATTACAGTTGTCCCATTTTTTCTCCCTTTTATTCCCTTCTACTCTGCACCACTGCTCCCACGAGCATTCCCCCGCCTTTGTTTATGTCTGTGGATAGTACATATAAGTTCTTTGGCATCTCCATTTCCTATACTATTCTTAACCTCCCCCTGTCTATTTTGTACCTGCCATTTATGCTTCTTATTCCCTGTACCTTTCCCCCAATTCTTCCCCCTCCTTCTCCCTGCTGATAATACCCATGTGATCTCCATTTCTATGATTCTGTTCCTGTTCTAGTTGTTTGCTTAGTTTGGTTTCGGTTTGGGTTTTTTTTAGGTTCAGTTGTTGATAGTTGTGAGTTTGTTGTCATTTTACTGTTTATATTTTTTATCATCTTCTTATTCTTAGATAAGTCCTTTAACATTACATATAATAAGGGCTTGGTGATGATGAACTCCTTGAACTTGACCTTATTTGGGAAGCATTTTATATGCCCTTCCATTGTAAATGTTATTTTGCTGGGTAGAGTCATCGTGGATGTAGGTTCTTGCCTCTCAAGACTTTAAATACTTCTTCCCAGCCCCTTCTTGCCTGTAAGGTCTCTTTTGAGAAATCAGCTGACAGTCTGATGGGCACTCCTTTATAGGTGACTGATCCCTTATCTTTTGCTGTTTCTAGAATTCTCTCCTTCATTTTAATCTTGGGTCATGTAATTATGATGTGCCTTGGTGTGTTCCTACTTGGGTCCAACTTCTTTGGGACCCTTTGAGCTTCCTGGACTTCCTGGAAGTCTATTTCCTTTGCCAGATTGGGAAAGTTCTCTCATTATTTGTTCAAATAAGTTTTCAATTT